TGAACTCTGTGTGATTTGTGGAATGTTTTATCCAAGATTTCAAGCTAATTATTACCTTGGAGATAAGGGATCTGAATTACAGGATTCCAGGCTGAACTGGAGATTAGGACTATAATGTGATTCTATCATTTTAGGGTTTTTTCTCAGAAACTGGGTATTTTGTTCCATGTCCAGATTTTAGTCTTAAGCGGGAGGTGGGGGGAACCATTTACTGTTACTTATTCTGCTTCCTTTAATTCTCTGGGAGATAAGCATTTTCCAATCAGCAATTAAAATGCCCTCCAAATAGATTCTGTATTACAGGAGCCTAGTGCAATCTCAGACCACAAAAGGAATTCATTTTTGAGGGTTTCTGCATGTGGTTAAATATCAGTAATGTTTTAAAAATTTAATGTCAAGATATTATAGAAATAGAAGTGCATAACAGATGCTAAAAGCTTTTGCAATGTGATGGTAATTGAGAACTCTGGAGCAGGGAAAGCCTAGAGATAGAAATGGGGAAGTGAACAGGAATCTTCCCTTGTATAGAAATCTTTTCCTGTATAGAAATCTTTGTTGCCTAAGGCTTTTGCATTCCTATAACCTTTGCATTTCTATTACCTTTGTTATCATAATTATCATGTATATGCTATGTACCTTTTGCTTGCATTCCTCACATGAGTATGAAACTGTCCAAAACTTGAATAAGCGGTCTGATTCCTTTGATCTGCAGTGTCAGTCCCACTAGTGTCTCCTCACCTGACTTTGGCTATTGGTCTCTGATTTTCTGTAACATTTCTGGGGGCCCCAGCGAGAACAAGTTGCTGTACTCTTGTTGCTAATAGAGGCTGCCCTTCCCAGACCCTGCAGCCCCATCAGCCCCTGGAACAGAGAAGTGCACACCCCCAAAGAATTTCCTCTGGGATCTCTTTCCAGGATGCCAGAGAAGGCTGCATAGCCCCAGACCAGAGGGTGAAGCAAGACAGAGAACCAGAATGGACGTCCAGACCAGGTAATGAGACCCAGGTTAGACAGGTGGAAGCCAGCACGGGCTGATCCCCCAACAGGAGGCTGCATACAAAGTCTTGATGTGATTCCAAGATGGCACTAGCCTCCAGTCAGGAAGGAATGGGGACCAGAACTTAACCTCAAGGTGATTCTGAGGTGCTGGTCCCGTTTAAGGTAAAACAGGAATCAAACAGGAAGCTGGTCCACAACTAAACCTTGATGTGATTCTAAGGTGTCAGTCTCGCTAGCATCAAATTAAACTTCCTCTCCTCACCTGACTTTGGCTATTGGTCTCTGATTTTTCTGTAACAAAGATAAGTAAGAAATAAAACACATTGTGAACTAAAATTTCCAGGAGGAGGAGGAGGGGGAGGAGGAGGGAAGAGAGGGAGGGAGGAAGAGAGGGAGGGAGGAAGGGAGGGAGGGAGGGAAGGAGGTAGGGAGGGAAGAGCTGCACCTGTGTTAAAGATTCTCCAAGGTCAAATGACTGAACTTCAAGATTATGCAGAGTTGGAATGTTGCAGACCAGAATCAAATTATCTTGGGCTGTTTATTCCCTTTGAAAGCCATCCATTGCTCAATCACCCCTGATGAATGTTAAGTCTGACTTAACATTTTTGTGACTATCAAAACCTTGCAAGGTATGCTTAGCTGACCACTAGCTTTCATCAGTTCAAAAGCTAAAGATGTCATCAGATATTACCTAAAACCTATAGCTGACTTTCCTGTTTTTCTGTAACCTGCCCACCTGTGGCCCCCACCAATGTATTTGGTAAACCCTTTAATTTATGGCTTTCTTTGTCCTGCAATAAAACCTCATGTGACCACTTCCACAATAGAGTGTGGTATTTGGGGAAACCTCAGTCTGTGTGTCTGGGCCATAGCCACTCATATTTGGTTCCAGAATGAACTGACTTTTGTTCCCTCTGAGGTGAGAACTGTATTTTTGCATGAGCACACGCATGCCCATTTTATAAAAAGAGAATGTAATGAATTACCAGTAATCTCTGAGGGGCTGTCTGATGCTGTGTCCACTAAAAAGCTAGGATGCTGTTTGTCAGAGCTACAAGGAGAAAATAAAGACAAAGCAAAACTTCATACCCTGGAAGGAAATGTTGTCTCCACAAACGCAAGAAAGGAAAGAGGAAAGAACTAGTCCAGCTAGCTTCAAAGGTGTTCAAGAAAACTAAATAGTCAGTGCTTTGTACCCTAGCCCAGCTCCTTCTGGGTAACTCTTCTTACACCAATGCCATAACAGTAAATTTTTCTCTAGTCTTTAAAGTCTTCCAACTGTGCCAAGCCATCTCTAAACTGGCCATAGTGTTATCATTTAGTTTATATTCTCGTGGTAAGAATCACCCCAACTTTTGGCAAAAGGATGAATTCCAAATACAGCTCTGGACAATTCTAGAGTTGAGGAAGTATCTTATCCAAGGTTAGAGAGATGGCTGAGTGGTTAAGAGCACTGGCTGTTCTTGCAGAGGTCCTGTGTTCGATTCCCAGCACCCACATGGTGGCTAACAACCATCTGTAACTCCAGTTCCTGGGGATCTGATGCCCTCTTCTGACCTCCATGGGCATTGCATGACACGGGTGCACTTACATACATGGAGGCAATACGCTCATACACACAAAATAAAAATAATTTTTAAAATAATTTTTAAAAAGAAAGACCTTGCTGGGCATGGTGGCGCACGCCTTTAATCCCAGCACTGGGGAGGCAGAGGCAGGCAGATCTCTGTGAGTTCAAGGCCAGCCTGGTCTACATAGTGAGTTCCAGGACAGCTGGGGCTACAGAGAGACCCTGTCTCAAAAAGACCCCCCCCCAAAATAAAGAAAAACCTTATCCAGCCCCTTGACCTCTGACCCATGGTTCAGTTTAAAGACCTCATTTAAGGGCTGGGGCGATGGCTCAGTGGGTAATGTACTTGCTGTGCAAGCGTTAGAGTTCAGATTCTTAGCACCCACATAAAAAGTTGGGCATGGCACTGTGCCCCTACAATCCCAGTGTTTGGGTAGTGGGGCACACAGACAGGAGGATCCTGGGGTCTCACTAGCCAGCTAGCCTAACTAATCAGTCAGCTCCTTATTCAGTGAGAGATACTGTCTCAAGAAGCAAGGTGGAAAGAGATAGAGGAGGACACCAAATGTTGACTTCTGGCCTCCACATACATGCACAGGCACACACACGTGAACATGTACCCACACATGTACCACACACAGAAAGGAAAAAGAACTGACTTAACTTCAAATAGGCTTGCTTTAAAAAGTACAAATGTATCATATTTGTAAAAAAAATAACTTCTAATATGCTTTTTCATTTCTTATACTTGTTATAGAACACATAGGGGCAATCTAATTTCATAATCAGGATATGGAGGCCTGTCTATCTAGTCTTGAGGTCAGATAAAATTTACCATGAAAGGAAAATAATGTTAGAGATTTAATGTGTATCAAAATTATACACTGTGCTGGAATCTTTTTAGAGAATTCGGCTGTTGGAGGGAATTTCTCAGCAATTATCAGAAACAAGGGGGTGGTACAGTCACTGGGGTGCTGACTAGGTTTTCTCTTTCAAAGGCAATGCTTATAAGGATATGTAAATACAGTGTGCTTAACTTTGGAAAGATTTTTATGACTGGAAAAGTAATTAAAACAAACACCTTTAAAATATAAAAATATTCTTTACTCAATATCAGAGCCTAAAATGTACATGGAAAGAGAGGAGACTGAATTCAAGTCCTGCTCTAAAGCCAAATAAAATAATAAAGTCACAGTCAGGCAGGACAGAGGCAGGGAAAGCTATTGCATATGGGTATTAGTATATATTTGCATAAATCTCCATTGAAGTAGCAGATCTGAGTTCAGAGAACTAAAGAGGAGACAGTATTTCCAGTAACAACAAAAATAGTCTGTTGTACTGTTTTGATGCTACAAGTTCCTGAATCCTAGCCAGGACAAGACCCCTCCATGACCCTGCCCTTGAGACCCTCTGGTGAGACCCAAATTGTTTCTCCAGGATTACTAAGTCTTGGAAGTTCCTCCAAGTCCCTTGACCGGCCCATCACAGGCCACAGCAGTAGCTGCATGTGGCCTGGCTCTTGACGTTTGTGTGTAATGGGGACCAGCTGGCTACATGTTTGGCCCAGCAGGCGGTGGCCAGGCAGCCCCTGCCATGAGAAACAGCAGAGCCAGGAGCTCTTGCTTCCTCTTCTAAACACTTGAAGTGCTTCCTTCTTCTGTTCACTTGCTATGGGACGTCATTCCCTGTGACAGAGGCCAAGTCCCCCCTGCACCTATCGTACATCCTGCACATGCAGTATTTCCATAGAGACAACCTCACAGCAACCCACTTTGTATTATACTGAGGGAAATACAGTAATCCAGGCAATCTCTACAGGCCAGACCTCTGCAAAACTGAAAGCCAATCTTTTAAAAACATACCCTTCCCCTTTCAAGGGCCTCTCAGAAGCAAGGCTCTTTGTCTGCTGACACTATAAAGTCTGCTTCCTCCTCCTGGAGGGCTGCAGGTCGCCCAAGCTAAATCTCTTCCCAGGGCCTACCCTTCTGTCTTACATTTCTCAAGTGTTCTTTCTTCCCCTGCTTCTCCGTTCTCACCATCACAGGAGAACACAGGTCAATCAGACGGTAATCAAATTATGCTCCATCTAATCCTGGGTTATTCAACTTGACTTAACGGTTTTCATTACTTTCTACTTAACTTTTTCTTTGGCGCTTGAAACGCTTTTTTTCAGTATCCTTCTAGTAGCCCAAGGGAGAAGAGGGCTGATTTCTAGATAATCTAGCCCACAGTAACATTCCAAGTTCATTTGAATCTACTATTACAGAATAAGTTTTGATCAATATTTTAAAAATAGCATCATTAACTTGATCCAGGCTGTCAAAACAATTTTGTATTTGTCAATTTATTATAAGGTAGTGATGGATAAAAGCACTTGTGTTCACAATTTACTACCTTACACGTTACTTCAGGATTACTGAAGGGTGCTTACCGTGGCATGATAGTTTCTGTACATGGGCATTTTTAGTATTTTTGTCAAGTAATCTTCCAGCTGCTTCTGCAATGAAAATATTTTAGATAATGTTTAACATAATCATATCTGTAAAAAAAATGTAGACAGTGACAATGATGGTTAGGTTTCATTTGTTTTTTGAGACCGGGTTTCATGTAGACCAAGCTGGCCTCAAACTCACTATGTAGCCAAGGATAACCTTATTTCTGATCCTCCCATTTCCACCTCCCAAGTTCTAGGATTATAGTCATGTGCCACCACACCCAGTTTATTTGGTGCTGGGGATTGAACCCAGGACTTCATGTATTCTAAGCAAGCACTCTATCAATTAAGTTACACCCCAGCACCTCCATAACAGCATCTCCACGTTAAGGAATTGGTTGTTTTAGGAAAAATCTGTATTTTTTTCAATTCTGGCATTTAATTAATTCTAAGATACATCAAAATGTCCTAAAAATTAATTTCTACAAAAACAAGGGGTGAGAGATAATTGAAAAAAAAAACTTTCTAATAAGATATATCCTGATTGAAATATTTTTAAATGTGTATGTATGAAGTAGGGAAGTTATAAGTTTGGGGAAATGGAAGCAACATATGTCAGTTACACCATTCTGCCAAATCACCAATGGTTAATTGTTAATTGCTATCATCATCTGCAGTTGGATGCCTGTATATGTACACAGTCACCACAAATCTTGAAAAGTATCTAATCTAGGACTCTAAAAATGTTTTCAACAAAATAACAACTGCAAAAGAAAAGTCAGGTATTCCCTCTGGAACATACAAATGTTTCAAATTCTAAAACTGAACTGATAAAAAAAATGGATTATTTACATGCTAATAATAAAATCCAGCTGGGCATGGTGGCGCATGCCTTTAATCCCAGCACTTGGAGGCAGAGGCTAGTGGAGTCTGAGTTCAAGGCCAGTCTGGTCTACATAGTGAGTTCTAGGACAGCTGGGGCTACAGGAAGACCCTGTCTCAAAAATACCAGAAAT